CGCCACCCCGAGTCGAGCCCGGGGTGTCGGCGCCGGCCCAGGCCTCTGGGCTGCCGTGGTAACGGTGCGCCGTGTCTCTCAGGATGTGGACACCGCCTACATGAACAAGAGGGAGCTGGAGGCCAAAGTGGACGCCTTGATGGATGAGATCAGCTTCCTCCGAACGCTCCACGACACGGTACGGACTCGTCTCCCGGTGCTCGGCCGGGAGCTGAAACACGCCCCTTGCCCCGGGGCAGGTGGGACGTGGGAGGGGGTCGGCGCCCAGTGGCTAGAGTGTTGGGCTGGGGGCAGGTTCCTCCCTGTGCCTTTTCTCCTGCTGTCTGTCACTTCTTTGTGGTTTTGTCTACATCCAGCTTGGGGGCTGTCTCATTCTGTGCGTGCCCAGTGCTTGAGCCAAAGGGGCTCTGATCTTGGGCCAAGCCTCAACGGGTGCCAGCAGCATAAATAAAACCCCAGGCCGCCTTGTCTGGCAAGAGAATAATCGTTGGGATTTCTAAGTACCCAACCACCGTCCTACTCGGGGTCAATACAGCGACTCCATGCCGCTTCTGGGACTGCTAGCCTGTCAGACTTCCCTTCCTGGAGTGCGTTCGGATACTGCCCTTTGCAACACACTCCTGTCTCTATGAGCGGCTTAAATAAAAACACCAGCGGCCAGATTCTGATCATAGACTCCTAGAACCCAAAGGGAGCTCGAGAGGTCATCGAGTCCAGCCCCCTGCCCTCACGGCAGGACCAAATACTGTCTAGATCATCCCTGACAGGTGTCTGTCCAACCAGCTCTTCAATATCTCCAGAGATGGAGATTCCACAACCTCTCTGGGCAATTTATTCCAGTGTTTCACCACCCGGACAGGCAGGAAGTTTTTCCTAATGTCCAACCTAAACCTCCCTTGCTGCAGTTTAAGCCCATTGCTTCTTGTCCTGTCCTCAGAGGCCAAGGAGAACAAGTTTTCCTCCTCCTCCTTGTAACATAGTTCACTTGAAAACGGCTTCTCTTTTCAAGCTTCTCTTTTCCAAATGAAACAAGCCCAGTTCTTTCAGCCGTCCCTCATCGCTCACGTTCTCTAGACCTCTCATCAGTTTTGCTACTCTTCTCTGGACTCTCTCCAATTTCTCCACATCTTTCTTGAAATGCGGTGCCCAGACACTCCTTTGTAAAGCCGGAGTCACCTCATCGACTTCTGTGGACTCGCTCTGGGTTGACCCAGGTGCGGAATCACTTTGGATTTCGGCAGATTCACACTGGAATCTGGACCAACAATTCTAACGAGCGCGGACTCTTTCTTTGGTGTGTGACACCGGTGCCAATCCAGAGCAGCTCCACGGACACAAACGGGTTTTTCTCCTCATTGGCACCTAGGTGCATGGATGGGGAAGTAGGCCCAGCATGTTTAAAGGCAGAGGGGGGTATCGGGACAGTCTTGCAGCAGAGATGGCTCAGGATGGCCACGTATTTCTGCAGGAACTGGCCCAGTTGAACGAGCAGGTCTCCGACACCTCCATCATCCTGTCAATGGACAACAACCGAGATCTGGACCTTAGCAGCATCGTGAACGAAGTCAAGGCGCAGTACGAGGACATTGCCAACCGGAGCCGCACCGAGGCGGAGTCGTGGTACCAGACCAAGGTGAGGGGACCTCTCACCGGCGGAACCGCGATGTCCGTGCCGCGCTTCGGTGGGCGTTTTGTTCCTTTCCCAGGCCCAGGCGGGTGTGGGAACGGGCTTGGCTCGATATTAGAACATCAGAACAGCCCGACTGGGTCAGACCAAAGGTCTGTCCAGCCCAGTGTCCTGTCTGCCCACAGTGGCCAATGCCAGATACCCCAGAGGGGGGTAATCCTCAACTGATCCTTCCCCTGTCATCCATTGCCAGACACACAGAGGCTAGTGACACCATTCCTACCCATCCTGGCTAATAGCCATTGATGAACCAAACCTCTATGAATCTATCTAGCTCTTCTGTGAACCCTGTTAAAGTCCTGGCCTTCAGCACATCCTCTGGCGAGGAGTTCCACAGGTTGACTGTGCGCTGAGTGAAGAAAACCTTCCATTTGTTTGTTTTAAACCTGCTGCCTCTTCATTTTATTGGGCGACCCCTAGTTCTTATATTGTGGGAAGAAGTAAATAACGTTTCCTTATTCACTTTTTCCACACCAGTCGTGATTTTATAGGCCTCGATCACATCCTATCATGGGGGTGGGTTTTTTGCGCTCGTTTCTGCATACTAGTTTGAGGAGCTGCGAGCCACCGCCGGGAAACACGGCGACGACCTGCGGAACACGAAGGGGGAGATCTCCGAGCTCAACCGCATGATCCAGAGGCTGCGGGCT